AGCCGGGATGCTGCGTATCACCCTACCATTCATAGGACAATCACTCATAACCAAGAATTATCTGGTCTGATCTAGACTGCAGAGCACAGGATTTATCATCAAGTTATTCTAGCCCTGTCCTGCTGTGAGTTGATGTCTTACTTTTCCAGGTGTTAATGAAGGAGAAAGAGTATATTCTACATGCCATATAATAAAGGAGATGATGGAATGCTGATTCCAGGGCAACAGATGAAAAGGTGCCAATGCAGTGATATCACAGGTATTATTTTATCAAATAATTAATATTCCAATTGTCACCATGGAGTGAAGAAGAAATTTAACCTTCAGACATGGTTAAGCTGCCCTTCTTTCCCCTGACCCCCTGCTTACATTGTAGGTTCAAATTAGCCCAGGGTAAACTTGATGGAGCTATAGGAAAATTGACAAAAGTGAACATTCCAAGGAGGAGATGACAAAAAAAAAAAAAATCAAGCAGCACTTAGTTTTGGTAAGGGATTTAGGAATTTCCTAAGATAAGTACTAACAGGGACTTCGGTCTTTTGACAAGAAAGAATGCAAGGTCAAAGGCTCAAATCCTGTCTTTAGACATAGGATTAAAAAAAATAATTCAATCAGGATTTTCCACTAGCATCATTCATACTTCAAGCATACCATCAAATCTCCTGTAGCCATTCACATTCCTCACAGGGTTCTAGGGTTCCCAAAGTGGAAGAATGTTGATATTCCTTCAAAATCTTCCAAACCAACAGAGGGGTCAGGAAAAGTGCCAGTCCCCGGTTAGTGCTGTCTTCCCTGCAGCAGGGCCTAGATTTAAAAGCCTTTGAAGAGTCTGTGCCAGCAGTATAAAGTCCAGGTGATTGCACTCTCCTCTCCTTTAGTGTGGGAGACATAATTTTTGTTTCAACCTTCCAATTAGTTTTGCTCATCCGGGACTTGTTTGCAAATGGTAGCTGGAGGAGAGAATGGGTGTTCATTATTTTGTGGGCTACCGCTATTGCTGTAATACTTATGAGGAAGCTGATTGCAAACTACAATAAACATCCAGAACATAGTGAAGATGCTTCATGTTTTTATTATGCATACTTCTAATTGTGTACAAAACATTTTATGGACATATATTCATATTAACGACCTTATTAATTCTCATGACACTCATGGGAAGCAAAGAGGTGGTGGGTTATATTATTCACATTTTAAGAGGCAATAATTAGACCTGTCTGGATTTATACATTGATTATTTGAGAGCCAGGAAGAAAAAGCAAGTTTTGACAATTGCGCTAAGTCTGCCATCCAGTACAGCACTCTATGTTGATTCACCAGTCCCTGTTTTGTGGTTAGTCATAAAATGTACATGACAGATTGTGAAGGGTATAGTTGGTATGGTTGGAGAAAAATATAGCCAGGTGATTTTCATTTCTAGTTTACGTTTTAAAAACAAGAATGCCACATAGAATACAGTAACTTTATAGCTATTTGGTGCTAAGTTCTGTGCTAGGTACTAAGAGAGGAGAGATAAATATTTAACCTTCATATGATAATCAGGTAGTGGGAGATAAGTTTATGTGAAAAAACAGAAATTGGAAATGGGTCGTGAAAGGATATTCGTTCAAATGGGAAACTGGGAAATGGGACTCAATTGGACAGAGGGGTTGCTAGTTTCTAGAAGCGATATAAACTTGGGATCAGTTAAATGTTTATTTCCTACCAGGTGAACTGAAGGCAGAAAAATCAGACTGGGAAGAGAGAGAGAAAATAAGCAGGGTCAGAGGAAGCAGAGGGGGATTTCCAGGTTTCCCAGTAGCACTCAAGGTCCTGGCTCCAAATCTTTTCCTGAACCTCAGCTACAAGCCTGATTGACCCCTAGGTTTTTAATGTCATTGGCCAACAGGAAAAGCCAAGCCATTAGTCAAGCCAGGAATTCTAGCCAAGAAACAGACATGAACACAGAAGGTAAACTATTACCAGATCTACTCCTCAGGGCAAATACTTGGAAATAGCCATGTTGCCTGCAGTTGGCTTTTCCCATCAACTTTAATTTAGACCCCAGATTGTGGCCAGATTGGCCAGATGAATATAAAGGCTGAGGGGCCTTATGTGGTTCTGTGGCTTTGTATTCTTCTCCTGACACACATTTCCATGGATCGGTACAAATGCCCGTTAACCCTCTCAGTAATGTTTCTTCTGTGACCATTTGGTAAGTGCTGTTGCTTACCAGTCAACTGGCTAAAGCTGCAATTTTAGTCTGATTATCTTCTAAAGGTAGAAGGAACATTCATTTTGTACACCATCACCAACTCCACATTTGGCAAGTGAAGTATTTGCCTCAGAATTAGTTCTCAGTATCTTTTTTTTTGGCTGGTCCTGGGGCTTGAACTCTGGGCCTGGGTGTTGTTTCTGAGCTCTTTAGCTGAGGGCAAGTGCTCTACCTCTTGAGCCACAGCGCCACTTCTGATTTTCTGAGACTGGTTTATTGGAGATAAGAGTTTCACAGGCATTTTTGCTGGGGCTGGCTTTGAACTGTGATCCTCAGATCTCAGCCTCCTGAGTAGCTAGGATTACAGGCGTGAGCCACAGGTACCAAGCTCTCAATATCATTTTTAACATGTATTTTCATGACAGATTGTAGCTTAGAGGCAATTCATTTTTATGTTGTTTCTAGTTGTCCCACTAGCTATGTAATTCATTATATTCTAAGTACTAGAGAAACCTAAAATGTTTCAAATAAGCAATATGTTCTGCATTAACATTTTGGTAAGAAATCTTTGAAGATTCAATGGACTGAATACACACACACACACACACACACACACACACATATGTATATGTATATGTCAGTTCTGGGGCTTGAACTTGGGGCCTAAGTGCTGTCCCTGAGCTTTTTTGCTCAAGGCTAGCACTCTACCACTTTGAGCCACAGCTCCATTTCTGGTTTTCTGGTAGGTAATTGAAGAGTCTCATGATTTTCTTACCTCAGCTGGTGTTGAACTGTGATCCTTAGATCTCATCCTCTTGAGTAGGTAGGATTATAGGCATGAGTCACCTGCAAGAAAATAATTTTTAACTGGGAGGGATACAAATGGTGGGGAATTTAGGATCACAACTAAATTTAATTTCAAGGAGAGTCAATTTTTTTTTTTTGTCTTGTCAGTGGTAGAGCTTGAACTCTGGGCCAGGGTACTATCACTCAGCTCTTCAGCTCAAGGCGATCATTCTACCACTTGAGCCCTAGCGCCACTACCGGTGGTTTTCTGGTGGTTTTTGGAGATAAGAGTCTCCCGAACTTTCCTGCCCAGGCTGGTTTTGAACCTCGATCCTCAGATCTCAGCCTCCTGAGTAGCTAGGATTACAGGCTTGAGTCACAGGCACGTGGCTGAGAGTCAACTCTTAAGTGGCACTTCACGCAGGATTAATATTTAGGTTTTGTGATTTCCTGTACTTATGGTCATTATTAACATATGGTGTATTTGTTTCTTTTTCTCTTAGAAAAAATTGAAATGTGAAAAAGTTTATACCCTTTTCTCCCCCGTGTTACGGTTCATCCTAAAATTACTGTGGGGCACCATTTATGAAGCTATTGTGAAATATTTAAAAAATACAATTTTTATTTTTTTACAGAAACTACAGAAGACAACGGACAACCACCACCCATCGCACCGTAGGCTGCGGACTTACAGTTAAGGACTGCTACTATTTTGCAAAATTGAGTTCCTCTTTACATTGGGGGAGGAGGGTGTCACTTTCAAATAAATTCAAGATTCCTTAAGTCTTCAGATGTGTTTACTTTTGACTTTATTGGCAGGAAGTGTGAAGCTAGGCCGCATAGTCTTGCATCGCAGCACTGGAGAGAAAATGACCAACAGTTTTTTCTGGCCTTTTTGTTTATTTTAAATTTTATTTTCTTGTAAGATGCTGACAGAGAGGTTACAGTTACAGTAGTAAGGTAATGAGTACATTTCTTGACGGGCGCCTAAGTCTTTAAAAACAAAAACCAAACTCCTATCTCCAGACCTCAAGCCTTTGCTTTGCAAAACATTTGCACCTTTTAGGTGCAAAGTAACACAAATACCCCGTAGGATTTACAGACCCCTCTACACTCACAAGTTAAAATGCTAGCAGCGAAAACGCGACTGCAGCTCTAACAGATGCAAATGACAGACGCAAGCTTTCCTAATCTGGGGTGTGGGGGGGGGGGGGGGGGAGGGGGGAGGCGCGGTGTTACCCTAGGGTGTAAAGGCCAGAGACCAGGCGTGGAGGGCGCCCGTCCAGTCCCCCGAGGGACGCGCTGCCTCGTTTCGAATCCCAGACGTCACAGGGATTTGGGGGGCACAACACGTTTTTTTCCCCATTGGTCACTGGAAAATGGGTCGCCGCGAGGCTTAGCTGACAGCTCATCCGAAGTCACCCGAAGGGCTGCATCAGATCTCCCCACCCCCAGCAGCGTTTCCGACCCCGTGGGTAGGTCTAGGGGGGCCGTGAAAGTGCGATCGTAACGAAATCCCGGCTGAGGGGTCCCTCGCTAAACAGAGATCCCCGCAGACTCGGTCAGGATCAACGTCCACTATCGACAGCACGACCGTGCTTGCGCGCGTGCGTGCGCGCGGCCCACCGGCAGGGAAGAGCGGCGGTGCGGGGCGGCCCGGGCCTCCCACCGGGGAGGCGGCTGGAGCCGCGGGGGCGCTGGCTGACGAAAGGGGAGCCCCCTTCCTCTCCCCAGCTTCCACCCCTGCGGAAGGGCTGGGGCCGTCGCCCGCGCCCATCGGCGCTCCTGATGTCAAGCCTTTAGGTGGTGGTCGGGCGAGGGCCGGTCAACCCGGAGAGCCCATTTTCGGTCCCGCGGGGGCAGGGCGGGCGGAGGCCGGTGCCTGGGGTGGGAGGAGGGCTCGGCTTCCGCGCTGTGAGCTCCGGCTCCGGGATCCGTCCCGAGGGCCGGTGGCCGGTGGCCGGGTGGAAGATGGCTGCCCCGTGTACCGCGGACGGTCACGTGTCCCCTCCGCCCCCCTCTAGTTCCGATCCCGCGGGAAGCACGGTCCGGGCTGCCGGGCACCGCCGAGGTACGGGGGGCGGGGGGCGGGCGAGGAGGCCGGACACGGCGCAAAAGGCCAGCTCTCCCGACTACCGCCCCCGTTCCCGGCGCCGGGGAAACCTTCCTTAAGGCGGTCCGCTCCAGGTAGAGCTACCGGGCATGCGCAGTACTCCCGCCCGGGCCCGGCGCTCTCCGGGTTTTCGCCCCAGCGCGGAGCGGCTGCGGCGGCGGCGGCGGGAGGTGGGGCCCCGATGGGCGCGGGGGATCGGGTCTGCTGATCCCCGAGACTTGTGCGCCCCGAGAAAAGCTTCTCCCAGCCTCTGGGCGTTGCAGATTTTACGGGCTGTGCAACTGTCTTATTCTGGGAGGAGGACGATGGGGATCTGGAGAGAAGTTTGAAAACGGGCCGTAGAGTTTGAGGTCCGCAGCCCCCCCCCCCCTTTAAATGAGCATTCAATCAGGTGTTAAACACGGGTGTCGCAGCGCTCGGTTGGGGCTGGGGGTAAGAGGATCTGCGTTGCCCCAGTTCCGACCCGGGCTTCCCAGCTCGCGTCCTCCGCTCTCCGCCCAGTCCCTACTGCGCCCTAAAAGCGTTAGCACCCCCGGACCATAAAACCGGCCTCCAGTCTGAGCGGCCTCCTAAGGGCGGGCAGCCGGGCCTTCCTCGCCGCCGGGGAAGCGCCTGCCTGCATCCCCCGTGTTCTCACTACGTGGCAAAAACAGAATGAGAAGGGACCAAGCCTCGACCACCCCAAAGCAGCACCGGGCGGCCCGGGGTCCCACTTGGGTTGTGTCCCGGGAAGAGGCCCCCCCCGGACCCCGCCCGGCCAGCCCGGCCCGCCCACTCCCCCCCGGCCGCCGCGAACACCCGGAGGAGCGGACTCGCGCCGCGCGGGAAGCCGGGCCGGCTCGGCCGCGGACTGGGCATGCTCGGCAGCCCCGAGGCTCGCGGTGGCAAGTCGGAAGCGTTCTCACCAGCGAGGCAGCCGCGGCTGGGGCAGCGGCGGCGGGCTGCGGGTTTCGGGCAGGAAGGGAACGGGAAGGGCCAGTCCCGACACCTCGCTCGTCCCTGACGCCGCGGCCAGCCAGCCCGAGCGCGCGACCGGGGACGGGGGGGGGAGGTGTGCGGAGCCCCGACGCTGCCCTGCCCCGGATTTCGTTTCGCGGCGTGGGGGCTCAGCGAGCGGAATTCCGGCGGCTGCCGCGACTCCGGTGCAAGTGAGTCGTGGGGCGGGGGCAGAGTCGGCCTCGGGGTGGCCGGGAGGGCGGGCGCGCCGCGGGTGTCTCGGGCCAGGCCTGACCCGCGGAGGGGCGGGCGGCCCTGGGGAGAGGGGGCGTGAGCGCAGCCCGGGCGGGGCCGCGCGCGGACCTGGCGGGCACTCCCCCGGCCGGGCCGCTCGCGGGGGGTGGGTGCGGGGGAGGGAGGGGGGAGCGCAGTCCGGATCCCGGCTCGGAGGGGGCGGGCCGTCGGCGGGGCTCCCCCAGCCGAGTTGGGGCTGTGAGGACGGCGGAGGCGTCAGCGGACACCTCTCTAGAGGTGCTGAGTGACGGCTGCAAAACTGCCCGGTGTCCTATTGGGGTGAGCGGACGGAAAACTCGGGAGTCGAGGACCCCCCCCCTCGCTCGGGCAGTGGCCAACCTGGGGTCCGGACACGCTGGGCGGCAGGACCCCCCCATCACTGCCCCACCCCCCCCACAGCCCAGGCAGCGGCGTGACAGTTGGTACCTCCAGGCCAGATTGCAGCGGTCCAGGGCGCCCAGGGTTTCGGGATTACCCCATTGCGACCCCTCGATGCCCCTCGACGACGGAACAGGTGGGACCTTCCCTCCTCCCCTCCCCCCTTCTCGTGGAGCGAGATCCTGCGGCTCGGTGCGGCTGCCCCTGCCCGGTGGGGGTGACAGGGGTGAGGCCTGGAGGGACATTGTGGCCCAGACTGGACAGCCTCTCCTGGACGCGGCTCTCAAGTGCAGGCTGGGGGCGGGGGCGTGCGTGGGGGTGTCCAAGCGATCCCTCAGCCCCTGGTCAAGGGCAAATCAGCCCCAGCAGCCGCTGCCTCGTCTTCTCTCAGTCTTCATTCCTCTAGCCGGGCCGAGAGTCCCCGTCCAGCTAACGGATTCGCCCTGGCGCGTTCTGGTTAGCCTTCCCCAGAATTAGGGTGTCGCGAGTACAAACCGGGGCTGAAGGTTGCCATGGACCGCGAGCGCGGCGAGAATCCAGGCAGGTGCTTCCCATGTTTCCTTTCACCTTCAGACCGGTTAGACTTCCGTTGCTACAGGCTGGTGAAACCAGGAACGGACGCTACTTTTCTAAAAGGAAGTTTATATAGGGTCCTGCCTACTGTTTTAGCTCTCCTGACATTTACCTTCCGGATCCCATTAAGCTGTTTGGACAGGTTATTTTGCTTTCACACTGTGTGTGTGTGTCTGTGTCTGGTTGGCTGCCTGGTTGTGGAAAAGGGGTGAACGCTGGTAATGGTGTGCTGTGATCTCCCCACGGCTCTGGCTCTGTGGGGGTTGAACGTTGAGAAGGGGGGTCCTGAGTGGACCCCCAAGGAGGGGAGCGGGACTGGTGACGTAGGCACGCCCCGGGAGCTGCCTGGGGCTGCCCAGGTATCACAGGGGCAGCAGCTGGTTTGGCCTGTGCAGAAGGGCAGAGGGCTGGGCGTTTCATTGGTCCTGGTGTTGATGTCCACGGGAGAAGCCGGGTGGGGGGATGGGTGGCTGTCTGGTCAGTGCTTCAAGGGAAGCCCTGGGATGTTTGGTGATTCAGCAGGTGGCAGCTTTCCAGCTCTGAAGCCATCCATGCCTTGGCCTCAGCAGGCTAGCAAGCCAGCAAGCAGACAAGCACAGCCTGTGCCCCCGGCTGGAGGTGCTGGCATTGGGGAAACCTCCCAGGAGCTGCCTGCTGCCTGCTGCCTGCTGTCAGTAGCAGTTTACTTTTCTTATCTTGTTTTCTGTTTAGATTGGGAGACCGTGGTGCCCTGGGTTGCTTCCTGCCTTTTCTTAAACCTTATAGCATGTTTTGTTTTATTTTATTTTTTAGTGGTATTGGGGGTCTGAACTAAGGATGAGGGGGTACATTACCACTTGAGCCATACCACCAGCAATGTATAGAGTGTTTTTGAGGCTCCAGCTCTGAGACCTTAGCAGGAAGAAGCAGCTGCTACCATGCAGCGTCAACGGTTATTCTGCAGAGATTGATAGCCTTTTACCTTCGATTTCTGTTTCAGAGACTAGGAATTTATACATTTAGTAAAACAGTAATATATATTTCTGCAGTTCTTGAGTGTTGATAGTGAGCCATTTCAAGTATCTGGACACTTTTTTTGTTGTTGAGGAAAATTGCTTCAAGGTCTGGATTAAATTGACACTGTAAGGACACATTTGTTTATTGGACAATCCCCAGCATCTTGTATAGAAGCTGACTTGTATTACTCAATAAATGCCTATTGGGCTGAAATTAAAACAAATTCTTTGTGATACAAAAATATCTGTTCACCATCTTCCTCATCTTTGCTTTTGTATCTGCATGTGGGCTCTTCAATGTTTTTAGTGTAAAGAATACAGTATGTATGTTGGATGTTTTTGTATATTGTAAGACATCATTGCCTCAAAAACTCAGTCATTTTACCTATCTTGTTAAAGGTCTCATTTTCAACTTGTGGCAGATGCTGCACTTCAGCTAGAAAAATTGGTGTGCTTTGCTAAATATCTCCTAAAAATCTAAAGGAATTCTTGAAGCTGTCAGTATCCTTTTTACAAAAACTAAAATGTTTTCCTTGTGAATTTCAATGCAGCTTTAACTTATACAACTTCCTTTCTTGAAAGAGCATGGCTCAAGTGATAGAGTGCTTGTGTACTATGTGAGATGCCTTTGGGCTCAATCTCCACTAAGGACAGGGGGGTTGGGTGATAGACAACTTCTCTTATGACAGCTTTGTTCATGAGAGCTTCTTATAAAGCATTTCAGGAAAAGTGTACAATTCCTATTCCTTTCCAGTGAAAAATGCTGCTGTAAAACAATAGAACTATTTTGGGGTATAAAAGTAAAAATTGTTTGGTCTGGACGATAAATGCCCGGGTCTTGGGTAGGTGAAGCCTATGGCTTCCCTTGTCTTCCCTCTGTGTTATTGTACTTCCTCTCCAGTGGTTTACTGTCTTCCTCTAAAGACTTTCTTGGCCTGTGCTTGCTTATTTAAAGCCCTGGCAGAGGTACTGCTTGTATTTTGCATATATATACTTGACCACTTTTCTGATTTACACTTTCCTATCACTTCATGTGGATGTAGCTAACTGCTCAGTGATTCTTGGAAAAGCTATCTGCCTATGTCTGGGGTCATGATCCATCAAGGGCAGCTTCAGGCTGTTTTCTCTGGTAGTAAACAACATACTTTTCTGGAGAAGCTTTGATGACATGCTTGGTCTGAAAGATTTTTGGCTTTTCTATTGAAGGTTCTTGACAGGAATATAAATATTTGTTTCTACTACATGGCGAGAGCTCCAACTGCAAAGTTTGTCCTGTTAGTTAAGCTGCCTTATCAAAAGGAGATTACATTTGGCTGGGGAAGGGGAGTGAAGAAAGAGGAGGAGATGTTAGGTATGTGGAAAGCAAAAATAAGATCACAGTCAAGGCTTGCCACAGCAAGATGACCAGAGACATGGCTCAAGTGCTAGTGCTTATCTAGGAAGGGCAAAGTACTGATTTCAAACCCTAGTAACTGCCAATAACAACAACAACAGAAAAGCAAAGATGTGGACGCACACCTTTACCAGAAGTTAAAATCCAGCTTCTTTTTAACTTACTATGTCAAAGAGGGAAAATCAGATTCAATAGCAGGTTGGGGATCCAGAGGACTGAAATTACTTTATATTGCAGAAAAATTTCCTTCCATTCCCAGTGGCCACCTTGATCTGTCCCTTTCATGATGCAGAGCTAACTAGGGGCTTGAAGTGAAGCAGCTCTTGTGTGTGAATACAGGTGAGTGGAGATCTACAGAACTTGAGTGATTTTTTTTTTTTTTTTTTTTGCCTTACAGACTTTTTGGTGCTGAGAGTTTAGCTAGTTAGTGTGTTCATTTCTTGCCCCTGATCCTCTAAAGCTTCTTGCTTGTTTTTATTTTTTTCTCCTTTCATTCCTATTCCATTCCCTTCTGCCAGAGGAGTCTGCTTTTAAGTGTTAGATATGTTTTTGGTTGAGTATGTTTCCTTGTTAAAGATGTTGAGTTATTTTGTGTGTGTTTTAAATTTGTGTAAGTGGTAATGTGCCATGCATTTTATTCTTTTTCATTCATCATTAAAGCCTCTTCTTGGCAATGGGAATGTGGCTCAATGGTAGAGGGCTTGCCTTGCATATAGAAGGACCCAGGTTCCATCCCCAGCACTGCAAAAGAAAAAACAGACACACCCATCCACTTCCTTTTTTTTTTTTTTTTCAGTTCTGAGGCTTGAACTCAGGGCCTGGATGCCTCTTTGTGCTCAAGGCTAGCACTCTGCCACTTGAGCCACAAAACATTTCTGGCTTTTTTGAATAGTGTATTTGAATTAAGAGTCTCATGCGGACTTTTCTGCCAAGGCTGGTTTCGAATTGAGATCTTCAGGTCTTAGCCTACTGAGTAGCTAGGATTACAGGTGTGAGCCACTGGTGCCAACTTACACCCATCCATTTCTAAAACTTTTATATTATGACAATGTTCAGACATTCATGAAAGTAGAGAGTTTCTTTCAACGTTTTATTTGTGATGTAAGATCCAGGTTTACAAAGTTTCTCTAGAGAATGCACTATGGCTGGTACTCAGTAGGGCTGCTGTGACACTTTTCTATATCTAGTTCTTTTCACTCAACATAATGAATTTTAAAATATTCTTGTCAGTTTTTTTTTTTTTTTGTTTTTTTTTTTGGGTCCAGTAGTGGGGCCTGAACTCTGGGCCTGGGTGCTGTCCCTCAGCTCTTCAGCTCAAGGCTAGCGCTCTACCACTTGAGCCACAGCGCCACTTCCGGCTTTTTTCTTTTTGCTTATGTGGTGCTGAGGAATGGAACCCAGGGCCTCATGCATGCAAGGCAAGTGCTCTACCACTGAGCCACCTTCCCAGCCCTTGTTTTGTTTTTTTGAGTTGGGAGTGATATTGTATAGTCCAGGCTGGCCTTGAACTTGAGATTTTCCTGTCTCAGCCTCCTGAGTATCATCACACCTGCCATGTTGTTCTTTTTCAATGTGATGAAATATATGTAACCTAAGTTTATTATGTGATCATTTTAAAGTGCATAAAGTGGTAGCATTATGTGCATTCACACTATTGTGCAACCATCACCACTGCTCATTTCTAGAACCTATTATTCACTAAACTGAAACTCTGCTTAACCTACTGATTATGAAATTCCATACAGGGGTCAGATTTTTTTTTTTTTGTTTCCTCTGTGTTCTAGTCCTCTGACTGTTTCAGTGCACATTTTTATTTCAGATTTGCATCAGGTTTTATGTGCAGGACAAGCTCTTCTTTTACTTTGCTTCAGAGGTTGGCCTGGTATTTTATTGTTTTTTCCCCCCCATAGACATTTTGGAATGCTTGTTTCCCACAAGGTATAGGAAATGAGATTGCAGTACATTGGATATCTCATCTGGGGAGAGCAGACACCTTTTGCTATATTGTCATTTGTCTATGAACATTGTCTGTCCATCGTTTAAAAACAGATTTTAAATGGAGCTTATAATTTACTCTGTCATATTGCCACTGTTTTTGTTTTTATTTGGTTTGGGAATGGAATCCTCGTCCTCAGGCATGTTAAGTACATGCTATATCACTGAGCTATACCCCTTTTTACAAAGCTCATGTATTGTGAGGAGAGCACCTTTTTCTCTGCCTTTGATGTAGGCAGACTAATGACTATTGGGACAAGTGTTTAAAAATCTCCTTTTTCTCTCACCA